ATATATAATATATATATATACACTCGTCGTTCCTCGACTCTAAGAGCGTCCCCTCCCAGGTGCCGAAGGCTGTGCGCATATCGAAGCGAGGAGGGCGGCGTTTGAAAGCCACATGGTCAGCGTCTCAGATTCTTCAAAGTGGTTTAAGAAGCACTCCGTGACCCCTGAAGGTTTCTTGTTTTGGACTATCCAGACATGGGTATTCGATCAGAAGATCCTGATGGACTATACCGAATTGATGGCAAATATGGGAATAGAGAGAACTGCATATCGACCTGGAATGACAAGCCTGCCCCAACCTTCACCTTTTCCACCTTTCACGCTCTAATTGAAGCTAGGCCAGCTACTATAATGCTTTGCCATATTAATATCACTAATGTGTGACATGTGTCTATCGGTGGCTGACGCCCCACTAGGATTACTTCTATTTGGTGAATTTCCCACCACATATGTATTGATGTGGGACCCAACTTCTCATCTTCTCTTGACAGGTAATTACGCTGTACACTGTGGTTCTCTGGAGAGATTTTGGCTGTGTGGTTCAATCATCACTTCTTCTCCACCCATCATCAAAAAGTCTAAATATCTAGGCACGATGCTGTTCGAGATTCCCCAGTACACAATAAATTGTAAAACGCATCTCAAGGGTTTTTACTTTCTGCCTTCTGCATCTAAGTCTACAACTAGCCACTGCACTATACACTGCAGACTGAAGTCTTAGCTCTTGCGCCCAAATCAGCAAGTTTGTCGCCCAGGGAGTTTTAGATTGCTCGATCAAGTACATTCATTTATCAGGTTTTTTAGATTTGGATAAGACACCACCTGGTGCAGATGATGAGGGCCTCATCCGTCCGTCCGTTAGTAATGGTTATATAGTGATTGCAACGCAGTTTGTGGCTTCTATTCACCTAATTCTCCACAACAATGCACCTTGTCCTTTGAACTGTCCGATACTTGCTGATGCACAAAGGGGTCAAGTGCATCAAGTTCAAGGTCGGTGTGGAGATGTACTGTACGTCTTTGATTGCCGATCACCCTGTTGGCGACAAATTGCAGAGATGCCGTGGTCAAGCAGCCCTGCCACATGGACCAGAATGCACCATAATGGACTCGCACAAGGGCACACTACGGCATCCTCACAAACACAGACAACGGTGCCTGGCAGCAATTAAACAGATGCTTTACATCATCTTCCGCAGTTCCTACCTCTGAGGGTGTGCCTGGTGTGCTTGGAATTGTGTCACACGTCGGAAATTCTCCAACATATTCTGGATGAGAATGTAGCACAACGGAAACACACCAAGTACAAACTTAAACATTTGCAACCTCAAGATGCTCACGCAATAGTCCCTGAGATACACTGCACGATTGTCCATTTCAATCATCAAGCGGCAAACCAAGGAGCAACTAATCAACGCACCAACAAATTTGACAACAAACCAATCTTTCAACGATAACGCAATTGAGTTGACAGGATTCCAATTGGTCAATTGACCAGACAGTTCAAGAGCTTAGTCGCACTCAACAAATATATACTCTCCATCCCCAAGAAAAGAGTAGACGCGGAGCCAATTCTCAGGAGCATGAACACATGCACAGTGCAAGTATGGTGTGTGCATGCTCCGTTCATTCATCCAAGGTGTAAACAAAAGGGGTTTGTAAGACCCTTGACAGGATTACAGAAAGAAGACACTCGAAGCAGTGAATCCTCTACACGAACTTCAGCTAGCCAACCAGAGTGAAGGGTGCAAGTTCTTTGCAAATTACTTGATCGTTTTCAATGAGTTGTTTGCAAGGCCGCATGGCATGTGCATTTTCCAAGATTCATCAATTTGCCACTTGCCAGGCGCAGCTTTGGAGTTGGCTGAAAGCATGGACCCAAAGAGACAAAAGAGTATATCGTATATCACCCACCTCGCAACTACATTGTGTCAAGAAAATCATCGTTGTTTTGCAGAACCCACTTCGTTGCATCAAAATGCCAACGAACGGATATTTCCTTTTGTTCTTTGGTAACTGTTAGGTTCAACATCAAAGCACAGAGGAGATGACATTGTCAACAAAAACCCGCACACCTTGCTCACGCAGCAGGGATGCACATATTTATCGTGAGCGTGGAAGTAATGTCCATGTGTAAAGTGGGCTCTGGAGGGTGAGTGATCAAACATGCTTGGCACCCACCGCCATCAGTTCTAGGAGTGGGCAAACGTAACGAGACACAAAGCATCACAGGAAAGGTCACCACCGCCATGGCCGCCCGAAGCTTTCAAGTTCGCTTCACATCGCTTCAACTTGACTTGTTGCAATAGTCGCACAGTGATATTGTCATCAACTCAAGAAAACAAATCTCCTCAAGGATTGTGTGTTGGAAATTCTCGCACATTTATCTAGACACATTATGTCACATTAACATTTTTCAAAATGCCATAGGGCCCAACCCAGCCGATTCCCTCACTGAAACATGCAGCTTAGATGGCTTACGGATAGCCGGATGAACCAAACCCAAAATGTACTTAATCCGATTTAACATGCAATTGCCAAACAGTCTTTTACGAAAGCCAGCCGGTAGGCTAGGCTGAAATGTGTTTTGGTGTGTTTTGGCAAATTGTCGGTTCCAGTATGGCAACACTTTATGATGACGCCAAGTAGTGCATCATTAGCATCATGAAGGGCTTTGGAGGCTATGTGGACAATGGGCATTGAGCACTCGAGTGGAGACAGAGACCCACGTACAGAGCAGACTGCAGCCACGAGTTCCCAGGACAACCCGTAACTCGCGAAATCCATAGAGAACCGAAAGTGACATGAGTTCAAGTCCATGAATTTGGATTGAGCTTCGGTGGGGATGCCTGCGAGGTTGACTACATATCCGCATAGGGTTTTTTCTCCCTAGCAAAAACTATACTTGCACCATGTCCTCGGTTGAGTGGATGCTTCTTGCGGCGTCCACACGCACTGCCGGTGCAGATGATAGATAGATAGATAGATAGGTAGGTAGATAGATAGATAGATAGATAGATAGATATTATACTACTGACTCATGACGTCGCCTTTTTGCTGGCGGCCCTGGCCGAATCCAGTCAGCCTGGGTCTACGGCCCAAAGATCTGCACACGCAGGTGCCAAAGTCAAGGCCTCTGAGTGAGAAAGGCGCAGAGTTGATAGGAAAGAGAAGAGTAAAGAAGGTGTTTGGCATTTGGATTGTTTAATAAAGGCCCCTTTAGAGGAAAAAGATTGTGGTTTAGATCGAGCCAGAACATGACCCACTCAAGTCCAGGCATGTGCATCGATAGGCACACAAATCCTGACTCCTTTGCTAGCCCAAGCTACTCCCGCTGGACCTCCCCTTCTGCGCCGCGGGATCAAAACGTCCGTGTCCCGGCCAAGACGTGCCCGTTCACTCTTCCAAACCAACGAATGCCGCTTTTCGACGTGCCGCCGTATGCATTGCAAACTTCAAACACTCCAAATGTAACAAATGCACAGTTGCTTCTATTCAAATGCATGCCCTACTCCCGCGGCGACGCTCACTATGGAGAAGATCTTTCTGCGCGCGCGGCGCGCGCGTGGTATCCCACCACTCGAACTCAGACGGTATTTCCCCTTCGCTAACGCTGATGTCGCCTTCCAACTTCCATAAGATGCATACCTTTCTGCGTGTGACAAACACATGCCATTGCTTTGTGATGATGACCTACACCAACACAACACACAACGTATGGCATTTCTCTTTCCCAAAGCCGCCCGGCTTGCTTCTCTGCTCCCTCCATCACCATTACATACGCCCCCCCGCATCCGCGGCACCGCTGGCTCGCAAGCTGCCGGCCATGTGTCTTGCGCCGCGACGCCCGCCAGAAAAAGAGACACTCGTCTGGCGGCTGCTGGCTTTCGTCCCCCCCTTCTCAGGTATACAGTAGTTTTGTTTTTGTTCGTGGAGTCAAGCCGTGCGTTTGAAGTCGAGCCATGCGTTAGAGGAAAAATAATGTGAGTGTGATTTACAGAGATCTGGATGCAGAGGTCTAGCGAGAAGGCCCCTGACAAAGTGGGACAGGGCAACAATGACTTGTCAATGCAGGAAGGCCGCTTGTCTGGGTGGGTGCATTTTTGTGGGTGTTTGAAGGCCATCTCGAAGCAAAAAAGGGCACCTCTGAAAAGCCGGTTCAAGCGATAAGACCTTTCACACAGCAGGACATCAGATGCAGCAATTCAATTTGCTGTAGCCCAATCTGGCGAGCCGCTGCTTGAGATGATTTTTGCAGATTTATCCGGGGAAATTCGTAAAGCGCGGGAGTTTTTGCTGCTGCGTGAGAGGAGTTGTTGACGCACGTGTTGGAAAAACACACTGGGCCTGGTGCAGGGAGTTTCTTGGTTGATGTCCTTTTGGGCTTTGTTTGAGGGCCGTCTCGGGGCAAAAAAGGCATCTCTGGAAAAGTGGGTTCCAGCACCAAGTCCACCAGAAAAGGCCTTAGGGAGAGTTTTCGTTGGTGACCTTGTGTGCCTTGTTTGACGGCTGTTTGGTGTCAAAAGAGGGCACCTCCGAAAAGCCTATTCTGGCGATAAGGTCCTTGACAAAACAGGACATGGCAGATGCGATGAAATGTCGATGCAGGCATGGAAAGACAGTGTGTTTACAGACCTAGACCTAGATCAAGAGGGAGCCGCGGATAAAGCGGCAACAAGAAAGGACACTTTGGAAAAGTGCCCCCAGAAAAGGCCTTAAGGAGGATTTGTTATTATTGTCCTTGTGTAGTTTGTTTGGAGGCCGTCTCAGAGTAAAAGAGGGCACCTCCGAAAAGCTGGTTGTAGTGATAGGACAAGGACACTGCAGATGCATCTCCGAACAACTTCAGTGAATCTTGCGAACGAAGTGTATTATCAGGGGGTTGGTGCGGGAGCACTTAGCTTATTGGAGCTTCGTGAGTGAAGCACGTTGCTGTAAGTGTTTGCCCCTCACTTCTCGGGTTTTGTTGCAAACCAGATTCCTTGCACCCTGTCGGCCCAAAGCAGCTGTTGCCTGGCGGTCGATTGCTTTGTTCAAGCATGCCGGAGGCAAGGAACATGGTCCTTCGCACATTTTTGTTCTAGGAAAGGCGTTGTGTATTATTCTGCAGGATGGTGAGGGGGAAAAAAAGGCAAGGATGGAATTAAAACAGCCTTTGAGTCTATCAAGCATCAAAGACCCCCGCAGGAGAAGGATGAAGAAGAGGAATCGGAACTTTTTGTGGGAGATTGTGTGCGTTCCACGGCTGCACTCGACCTTTTTGTGCCGCGTCAAGAAAGTCTTTCCTGCTGAGGCATTGCCGGCAGTATGGCAGAAGTCAAAAAACACTTGGAGGTGCATTGGGTTTTGGGAGACAACAGATTCTCTATTGCGTAAGAACACATGCAAATTGCTGATGTGTCTTGATTGTTGAATGGATAAACCCTAGCTGCAGCTTAATTTCATTTGTGTGGTGTGGCTTTCCGCATCCTGATGTGTTGTCCAAACATCGAAGTCGAAATGACAAATTACTTCTCGGAGGTTGTGGACATGACGTGGGAAGGAAGTTTCATGGGAGTTCTTGGCAAGAACGGCGTTGTCAAGGTTGGTGCAGACACATTTGTGGACTGTATTCATTTCTTGTATACTAGGAGCAAGGACGCTACTAGGAGCAAAGAGCATCGCTACTAGGAGCAAGGACGCTACTAGGGGCTCCTGGCCGTACTACTAGGCTACTAGGAACAATGCTTGCTATTAGAAACAAGAAGCTACTATTAGAATTAGAATTAAATGCTTTGCCTCAGTCGGTTCGCTTTCATCCGGGTGACGACAAAGCTCGACAGATTTGCGCTCAGAGCTTAGTTTGATTTGTTTTCCTTGGTGTGTTGATGACCCGCGCTCACAAAATCTGCTTCAAAGTCTTGACCTGATGTCTTAAAACCTTGATGATTTGGACTCTTTTTCTGTTTCTTCTGAGGTTGTGAACGTTCATGACGGACCGGAAGTTTCTCTTCCAGGACGGATTTTGCTTACACACTGTTCTCGCAGACATCCATTTTGCTGTTTGCATTCTTAGCTTGTGTTGTGGTCTATTGAAGGTGCTTCTCTGACAGTTGTTGAAGATGATGAAAGCGACAAGGAAAGTGTAGACAAAGGCGAATCGGCTGCCACAACAGATCCAGTCCTCAAGCCTCAAGAGTTTTGTTGAGCTGTTGTTGGAAACCCAGGTACTGACCCAAGAAAGCTCTTTCTAAATTGTATGTATCAAGTAACTATAAGTTAGAGATTCAGTTTTTGTTGTTTGGTGTGTACCTGTACCTGACGTTGCTTTGACGTGGCAATGAACTTGGAGAACGAAGGTAGTGATGAAGAAGAAGAGGAGGAGGAGGAGGAGAATTGTCCCAGTAAAGAAGCACTTGCAGATTTCTCAATCAAGCCCGCGCAGGAGCGCGTGCGAGTTCCCCTTCGGGTCAATATGCGTGTGGAGGTGCGATCCGTGTGCTTTTACAAGCCTAAAAAGCTCAAGCTTGAACATCGCTGAGCAAGAGCTTTTGTGCATGTGATGGAACCTGGGACAACATGTGCAATTCCTCAAGCTGGCTCAAGCGAAAGCAGACTGAAGGAAGGTAGCGCAGTCCGAATGACGGCGAATGACACCAAGGCCGCAATCCGAACCTTCAGGGCCTGCGTGAAGGCGAGGATTGTCTTCCCCGTCAAGAACTGGATATGTTTTCTTCTTCAAAAGTTTAAAGATAAGCTTATATCAGATGAATTGAACCGAAGTTGCTTTCTACTGCACATCAGTTTCGCAGGAGAAAGGGACTGGAGCTTGCATTGGTGAGCGAAAGGCCGGAATGAATTTCCAGAGATCAGTTGGAAGTGTCCGCTTTGCCCACAAATATCTTTTGCTATCTGGGGTTCGTATTTTTTTGGACAAAGCCACTTGATAGACTGATTGTCAAGCAATGTCAACTGTTTCCCCAAAGGAGACTGACTTGGCAGGCAGCAGTGGAAGGTGTTGCGAGTGCTGTCAAGGGTGAGTGCTCAGCTCATGTGGAGGAGTGTTGGGATGCTTTTTCATCAAAACACTTTTTGCCAAGACGTCTATTGGCTCCAGAGATTTGTAGCTTTGTCCCAGGACTTCTTTAGCTGCTTTGCACACCGCTACCAGTTGAGTTCTTGTGGAGATGCCACTGTCAGCAAGATGCTCAAGTGTCAGGACAGCTCCGTGCTAAAAAGAGTATATTGGCGTCTCACAGTAGTTACACATACAAGCAGCTTGGTTGCAGCTCGATCTGAGACACTTCCAGACTTGATGAGGAGCAGTTCTCCGGGCAGCTTCTGGGAAGCAAGTGAGTGCGCTGAAACTCCGCATATTTGACATTGGAGGCATCGCTTGCCTATAAAGAAGCACCCTGCAAAGCTTGCTTCAGAAGTTGAGTAGAATATAGTAGAATAGCATTTTGTTTTACAGCATTTAGAATTCAATGGTTCGTGCAACTATTTGTTTGGTTGTTTTTTGGCTTAAGTTTGGAGACACATGTTCTTTTTTGTCACAGTGAAGAGTAGCCTTGATTTTGATTGACGATGAACGGCAGGGAGGAAAAGGAGCTTGAGTTGGGAGTTGCATGCACTTGATAGTGATGTCGGACTTAGAGCTGTTTGGTAGAGCCTTCAATGAAATTCAACCAAGGACATTGAGTGAGTGTAGTTTGTGCCTATGTATATATATATATGAGTATGTATTATATATGATACATACATACGTTATATATACATATTAGAAAGCAGGGTCAGTCGATCAAACACCGATCCCACCCCGATCGGCTGCTTCTGTTTTCAGCCCTCCTGAGCCCGAGCCACGAAGTTGCCTAACGAATGCACGATGCCTACATGATGATGCTGCTGTTGTGAATGCACTGCTTGAACACTCCAACAACTCTCGTTTCTTTTTTTTTTTTCTCTCTCTCTCTCTCTTAATGAACAAAGCATCAATTCACCTGTAACTGACACAGCAATGCTCGAACTAAAGTCTTTCATCTCAACTTTACATGACCTCTTCTTCTCACGTTTTTCCACACTTTCGGGGCAGCAGCAGGATTGTGTGAACCCACCGACACTGTGGTAGTTCGACAAGTCTTTGAACCTTCCGCCACAATTCTTTCCACGCTGATGCACTCCACTAGGTAAGAGCGAAAGGAGGCATTCTCGGTCAGCTCTTTGTATATACTGTAATATAACTGCTTTGGATCTTCAGCATAGGTCACTGGCTCCGATTCATCCGCATCAGGCCGTGGGTGATCTCGAAGCCTCTTCGCTGACAGCTCCACAGGATGAAGAACCAGTCTTGGTGACACCACACTGACTTGCACGAGCGATTGCTCAGGCTCCCGCGAGCTCCGGAGTGACTGACATCTTTAAAGAGGCCATTGTCCATTCTCCGGCTGTGACAACACGCAAAATGACTCCTCTGTCAAAAGGGCATCTTGCAAGCTCTTGCATGTCTTTCCTTCCCCTGTCCAGTCTAGCATCACTTGCTCTTCCGCTAGCCGCTAACTGATAGTTGGCACTGTGAAGAATTGCACGTAGCAAATCGACTGGTTCTGCATGATCTTTGGTGATGGCATTTGCTATCATGGATGATGTTGGGCGCACCTTGGTTCTAATCTAGTTCGCTGGATAGACTATCTAATGATCGCAATGTCAATTATCTGTCCTCTTATCGTCAAGCACCCCTCTGTTGCCTAGGGAAGTCAGTCAGTGATGCCTATGGGGGACCTTCTTTGAAGAACCGTTTCGGGTTGTTCCAACTGAACCCATCCACCCGTTCGGCCTGCAGCTGTCGAAAATCCTTGTGCTTCACCGCATACTGTAGAAGTAAATGGTATGATTTCCAAGCAAAGCAGTGAAAAGCAGCTCTCTGGCACGTCATCTGCCTTTCTCATGTTGTTCAATGTAGTGGCGATCAACCATCCATCCTCAGTAACACTGGGTTATTTGTGAAGGCTGCTTCAGGCCAAAAACACAGGGTCAACTCTGACAAAGAAATGTATGGAAGAGATTTGATTGCCGCAGGAAAAAGCTTCTCATCACTGCTGCCACCACCTCAAACTTCAAGTCACCTGCTTCTTGACAGTGATGGTCGCCAATTGGTTGGCCGAAAGACCCCAGGCGCTCAAGCAAATCTGGCCACTATTTTTATTTGTGTCCCAGGATGGCAGCAGGTCAGTTTCACAAAGCGTTTTCTTCGTAATTCGCCGGTCGTTCGTGTTTTTGCGTAATTAGTGTTTGATCCGTTGTCAGCAGACCGCGCTACAGTCCCTTCCCGGCCGGGTCCCTTCTGCAACCCAGTAGGAGGGAAACAATAACGGCCACGCAAAGCTCTCCTAAGCCAAAGAAGCGTGTCATTTTGTCTTATTTTGTCTTATTAAGCCTTTTTGAGGACTGTTCGACTTTGTCAGCCTTCGACTTGACAGGATACCAAGAGAAAAAAGAAGAAGAAAGTCTGCATCGGAGTCCCCCAGAGTGCATTAGCGCTCTAGACTCTCTGAGGATTTAGTCGTGATGGTGCCAAGGTGATCTTGGAACTTGGTGAAAGCGAGACAAATGTAAAGTATGAGGTAACTTGGACAAATAAGTCGAACTCGGTGTTCCTGTGGGACATTTTGTGTGAAATGTCTTCAATCTGATTCGTTTTGTTGGAGAGATCCAGGACGGTCGCACCAAGCGAGTAGCAAACACGAGACTGCGGCCACTTGAGCGCGCGCACGCCTAAGTCCGACATCGAATACAATGAGCTTTGCTAGCACTTTGCTAATCGATCTTTACTTTAAGCTTGGCTTGCCAAGCCTGTACTTCTTGGATTAGGTGACACGGGACGCTACTGGTTATTCTGGTGACAGCAGCTTCAACGTTCCAGTGCCACGTATTTGATGTACAAATTTGGCATTTCCTTTGTTGAGACCTTGCCAGGATTTTCGCTTCACCAAGAATTGCTTGCCAACCGGGATTGAGGTGGCAAGCCCACTCATTCAACACCAGCTACTCCGACTGCAAGTTTCAGGTGGTTGGCGACGGTGCTGATTTGGAAAAGAATCGTGCTGGTTTTGCTCTGAGAGTTTGACGTTCTTCTGAAAGCCTTGTGCATGTGTCAATTTTGTCCGATTTCATCAGGTCAAAGCTACCTGCACCTCAAAAAGAGTCTTTGCTGTTTTACATGAAAGAGCAGAGACTCTCACCTTTTTGGCAGCTGTTGCACTTGGAAACATCCTCACATGTTTTGTTTTGAAGCAAGGAATACCTACTTGAGAGTGCCTCTACGTGGACTTCGACATGAGAAGCAACCGTCTAAGATTCAATTACAGTTGTTGGGCATTTGCCTCCACACGACTAGGCTTAATTTCGGCTACATTTGCAGAGAACAGATCGGAACAGGTCCCGGAGCAAGTTCTGGAGCAGGTTACAGAGCAAGGTGGGGAGGAGGTGCTGGAGCAGGTTCTGCAGAGGAGGTTCCGGAGCTTCCGGATGAGGTTCTGGTGGAAGTTCCGGGGCAAGTTCCGGAGCACTTGGCAGACACGCTTTCTCTCCATGTTGTCACGCTGATATGCTTCCGTGGTGTCACGTTGACATGTCGTCACGTTTGCGCGCTGCCCAAAACAAAATTTATCACACGAGTAAATCTTTTCATCAGCCAAGATGAAATCTTTCCACGAGGAGGGATCACGGGGGGCACCCCAAGCAAAGAGAAAACTTCTCCACGAGGAAGGGCCACCAGTCTGTTCATGAGGAGGGAGCGGGGGGTGCAGTCATTTGTTAGCGAGCAGGTTGTCTTATATACCAACCCTATATGGCAATGTGTCCTGCAACAAGTAACAGAGTGCCACGATCCCAAAGGTTGAGAAACCTTTCAACCAGCCTCACCTGGACCATGACATGAGTCCTTCTGTTAATGTAGTCGCTTGTGCCACTTGAATGCAGCGCTTGATACTGTTCTTCTTGAAGAACTTAAGAACTTGTCTCAATTTTGTTTAGAGCTTTCCTCCATGGGCCGAAAATGGTGTCAAGATTCCTGCCTTTAGGCTTCGCCCTGGTGAGCCAATTCCTCGATACACATTGTCTCTGGAGGACCTGCCGTCAGTTGCAGCTGTGTTGAGTCCTGCCAGTGACCAGATCTTGTGAAGACGCATAGTTAACGCAACAAAAAGGTGTCGTTTTTTTGGTGTATTGTTCTTGCACATGCTGGCGCCGCGGCCGGAATCAGTTTCTCACTATGTAGGTATGCCAGTACTGCGTATATATATATACACACATACATGCTTATAAATATATAAAGACATATTTTCCCTTTTTAAACAACAAGAGAAATACAGCTCAACAAGTCTACCTATGCGCCCACCTACCAGGCCTTTACAAATCAAGGAAGATGCTTGCCAGGCAATGTCTCATTATGTTACCATGGGCCAAGCCCGGCGGTTGCTTGCCTTCCTTGCCAGTATCGCGTCCCGATTCCTGGCAGCCTTCGCAACGTCCTTGCTCCTAGTAGCGAGGCCAGGAGCTTCTAGTAGCTTCTTGTTCCTAGTAGCGATGCCAGGAGCCCCTAGTAGCGTCCTTGCTCCTAGTAGCGATGCCAGGAG